CTTAATTTGATATCTTACACAACGGCAACGAGTTTGATTTTGATTTTAAAGTTTAATTTCAATTATTTACAAGCTAAAAAATATACTAAACACAATTTTATGATAACGGTTGAATTTTCTCTTCTTTCTCTCTCTCGTAGAAAGTCCTGGCTACATATGTAACGTGCATGTACAAATGAATGGTAAAACATAATCTCTCTTTCTACCTATCTTTATTCACATATCTAAGTTCGTTTAGTAATATGCGTCTATCTACATTTCAGTCTCTCCTTGTACACGAAAAGTGAGAGAGAGAGAGAGGGGAGTGACGGACGGAAACGAATATAATAAAAGAGAAAATAATGATAGCGCTAATAAACGTCATTCATACCCGTGGCAATGCAGATAAGAATAATAATAATGATAAAGAGGCAATGTGAATGATCCTGAGCAATAATAATGGTGATAATATTGACAATGCTGAAAATTAAAAAGGGATTCATATGATTATAATAGTTTTGAGATGGTAATGATATCAATAAAATCAATTTGTGAGAAGCAAAGTCGTTCATCTTTGTATTTGGAATATCCGTCTTTATCTAGCCATACTGCATGTGGATGGAATCATGAATTTTTTTGTTGTGCGAATGGAAGCGGCGGCTCGTGAAGCCTCATGTATTTGAATCATGTGAGATTCCTTCTGTTTACGACCCCTCGAAGCAGCTGAGACGAATCGTTTGAACCGCCATAGAGAAAACATCTATACCGGTAAACATAAAAGAAAATTTTAGTGTATATATGGACGCTAAAAACATTCCAGACCCAGGAAAAAGTCCTGGAAAAGCCCAGCAAATGGACTATGAAACATTAAACAACAGAAGACGTAAAAACAGTGGCAGTGATACAGAAACAAACCCACCGTCCAACACCGGAACGAAGAAGCCGGAACTTCATACAGTTTCAACCAATAGGAAACAACACCGAACCCAGGAATCAAGTAGGCATGAACAGAGATGTTATACTAATACAACTATCAGGGGAATCATTAATTTCAAATTTCAATAATCCAATGAAATTAACAAACGCAATTAACAAATCAGAATTTCACAAATATATAATTGAAGACACACTCAGAGTCCTAGGGATTGGGAAGGCAATAAGATTCGAAATAGAAGACAAAAAAAAAATAAGAACTAGCAGAAATGAAAAAAAACTTGGACCATGGGAAATAACTTGCAAACAGCCTACATCAAGTATTAATACAGATTGTACATACGCAACTATATATCCAGTTGAACCAGAACTGGATATAAAAACAATAAAAGAAAAAATAAGAACTATAAATGAAATCTCCCACATCCAAGATGTAATAAGAATTAATAAAATCAACACCGATAAAAACAAAATTGAAAAATGGACCAACAAAATCACTAAGAATTACATTTAAAGGACCACTACCAGAGAGAGTTATAATTGGACACACATCCTACAAGACACAGCAATATACCTTCCCAATCCCGAAATGTTATAACTGTTTGAGATATGGACATGGGATCTTAACCTGTAAAAAAAAAAAAAAGATGTAGTAGATGTAGCAGTACTAATCACGAATTTAAAACTTGTACGAATGACCAATATTGTTTCTTTTGTGATGAAAAACATGTACCAAACAGCAATGAATGTGACATACATAAAAAAGCACAAGAAATCAACAAACAAAATTTTACACCAAATAACCCAGATATAAAGAAAAAACTACAACAACTAAAACCAAAATCAGAACAAACCACAAATCATAACAACAAAGACAAAGAATCCCAACAAGACAGCACAAAAATAACAAAAACAAAACATACACCACAGAGTAACACATATCCCAGAAACACAAATCAAAACCAGAACCAGAGTACACCACAGAGCTATGCACAAGCAATAACATTAACACAAAATGTAACACCAGGACAGAGAACACCTCCAAGACAAAAAATACAAAACACAGAGAGAAACCCAATCCAGAAACAAATAAACAATAAAATAAAACAGAACCAGTAAAACCACCAAACCACACAAACAAACAAAAAAATACAAATACAGAACAATCGCCAGTAACATGGACTTTACCCACACCTATAACCCACTCCCATCATCCAAACCCAAGAACTACTCCTTTAACCCAAATACACCATCACCCATCACCTGTGCCAAACACATACACCGAAAAACAAAAGGGAAAAAACAGAAAAGAAGAAGAAGAAGAAGAAGATAAAGAGAATTCAAACTGGGTAACTACCACAAAAACTATAATAAAAGCAATAACAAATTTGATAAACAATATAAATTCAAAGAAATCCTTTTTAGAAATAATAATTGAAACAACAAAAGATTTTACCCCAATTTTAAAACAAATAATTAGATTAATAAATGAATAAAATAATTCTATGGAATGCTCATTCTATCCATAGAAAAGAATCAGAATTAGATTATTTAATCTATAAAGAAAACCCAGGTGTAATCGCATTATGCGAAACTTGGTTAAAAGATAAAGATAATTTTAAAATAAATAATATGATATAATTAGGAAAGACAGGAAAAATCAAATTGGTGGAGGGTTAATTTTAGGAATTAGAAAAGATGTGCAATTTAAAAACTAAATTTAAATGATATGTACCAACATAGGATAGAAATCCTAGGTGTAAAAGTCCAATATAAAGAAAAATGGCTAAATATGATATTAATATATAATCCTTGTAATAATATTAGAGAAGAAGAATTTCAATACTATTATGATCAACTACAAGACCCAAAATTAATAATAGGCGACTTCAATGCACATCATCCAAATTGGAACACAAATAACAATAAATTAAATAATGTAACAGGAAAAAGTTTAGTCAAATTGATAAATCAAAATAATATTATACTTCTAACACCAAAAGGACAAATAACCAGAGTAGATCCAATAACGAATAAAGAATCTACATTAGACCTGGTTTTGGGATCACCGACGATTAATCATTTTGAAATTACAACAGGCCCACACCTAGCTAGCGACCACCTTCCAATAATCATAAAAGAAGACAATTATCAAATAAACTCAATAAACTTAGAAAGAAAGTGGAATTTCACAGAAGAAGGATGGCAGAGATACATTTCAGAACTAAACAAAATAAATGTAGATATAGAGACGATAAAAATACTGTTAGAACTGTTAAAAAAAACGGAGAGAGAAATTTTTCAACTACAATAGTAAAACAATAAATAATAAACCGAACAAACCATGGTGGAATAGCAAATGTAATGAAATAATAAAAAGAAATAAGGCATATAATAAATGGAGGAAAAGACCAAGCATAGAAAACAGACAATTATAAAAAACTAGTAACAGAAGCAAAACATGTCATTGAAATAGAAAAAAGGAATTCATGGGAAAAATTTTGCATCTCTATAGACTTTAAAACCCCCACAAAAAAAATATGGAATTTCATAAAAAACAAACAGGAAAAATAACAAAAAGTAACTACCCCCTGATAAATAATAATTTCCCAGTCACCCAAATATAAAAAAAACTAGAACTATTTAGAAAAGAATATGAAAACATAACCAGTAGACAAACAGAAAAACTATTAACAAGAACAGAAAAAGAAGAAATATTAAATAGTAACAATGAGGATGATATAAATAAAGACATAACATTAGAAGAATTAGCATACGCTATAAGGAATACAAAAAATGGGAAAGCATATGGGCCAGATTGTATAACATATGAATTCTACAAAAATGCCCCCCCCAAAATAATAGAAATAATTTTAACAAACTTTAATAAATATTGGGAATTAGGAAATTACCCACAAGAACTAAAAACAGCAATAATTAATCCAATTTACAAATCAGATAAAGACCCATCCAAAACCAACTCATATAGATTTATTAGTAGAACACCATGCATAGGCAAAATTTTTGAAAACATAATTACACGAAGATTAAACTGGTGGATAGAGAAAAATAAGCTAGATGAAGACCTAATAGGCTTTAGACATAATCGAAACACAATAGATGCAATACAGATAATCGAAATGAAAATCAGAGAAGCAATTAAAGAAAAAAATATGCCCTAATAACATGTCTCGATATAGAAAAAGCATTTGACTCAGTAAATCATGAAACTATCCTTATAAAAGCAAAAAACATAGGATTAAGCGGCAAAATAATAAGATGGATAAACAATTTCCTATGCAATAGAACTTTTCAAATTAAAATCGGAAAAAAAAATCAGCTGTCGGAAAAATATTAAATGGAGTCCCACAAGGATCTCCAATCAGCCCAACCTTATTTAACTTAGTAATGTCAGACATAAAACTCCCAAAAGAAACTGATAAAGTAATTGCTGATGATATAACTCTAATAACATCAAACGAGAATCTAGTAGAAGCAAAAAATAATTTAGAACAAAGTCTAAACAAAATAAAAGAATGGGCAGAGAAATGGAAACAAAATAAATCCAACCAAGAGTAAAGTAATGTGCTTCACAAATAAAAAACTAGAACAAAATCCAATAATAAAAATAGGAAACGAAGAACTAGAATACACAAATATTCATAAGATATTAGGTATGATATTCGATGCCCCCAAATTAACATGGAAAAAACACGTCGAATATGTAAAAACAAAATCGATGAATAGGATGAATATTATGAAAAAATTAACCTCACTGAGTTGGGGAGCAAACAGAGAGACATTGACAAAATTCTTTAATATATATATAAAACCGATTATAGAATACGGAGTAACAATATATAGTGGAATAAACAAAAATGAATCTAAAAAATTAGAACAAATTCAAAACTATGCACTAAGAATTGCCACAGGATCCCTCAGATCAACTCCAATAATAGCACTGCAAACTTTAACAAGTCAAATGCCAATAACAAATAGGATAAAAGAATTAGAATGCATTCAATTGATTAAAAATTTAGAAAAAGAAAACCATCTACCAATAAAACAATTATCCATAAAATGCATAGAAAACTTCAAACCGAACAAAGACAAAAAAACACTTCTATATAAAGTTATAGAAACATGTAAGAAATGGAAAATAAAACTAAAAGTAGACACAGTCCCTAATATTTCCCCAATCCCTCCATGGTCTGACATCATAAAAGACATAGAAACAAACTTCATGGAAAACATGAATAAAAACACACCACATCAAATGATACAACAACATTTTCACTACATAGAAAATACAATATACCAAAATTACCAAAAAATTTACACAGACGGATCAAAAATAAAAGAACCAGTCTCAACAACAGCTGCCATATATATACAAAATAAAAACATTACAACCTTATGGAAATTGCCAAACAATACAGAAATAATAGAGGCAGAATTATTTGCAATAAAACAAGCACTAATTTACATAAACAACAATAGATTACAGAAAACAGTAATATTAACAGACTCGCATCCATACAAACAATAAAAAACTACAAACCAAGAAAATATAAACATATGATATATGAAATACAATCATTACTACTATTATTAAACACACAAAAGCAACAAATAGAAATACAGTGGATTCCTTCACATAAAAATATAAAAGGAAACGAAATTGCAGACAAAGCAGCAAAAAAAGCTCATGAAATTAGAGATCCCATAACCATGACACAAAATTCAACAAACACAATAAGAGAAATAAAAATGAAAAAACAAGAAAACTGGAAAGACAGTTTAAAAGAAATACTAAACACAAAAAATTATCTAATCAAAGATCACAACCCACAACCATGGACAAGATCACAAAACAGAAAAATAGATGTGACCATTGCAAGACTTATGACAAAACACACAAGACTTAAAAAACATTTACACAAACTAAAAATAGAAGCAGACCCTATGTGCCGATGGTGTAGTAACCAAGAAGAAACGCCAGAACACTTAATTTTACAATGTCCGAGATTTAATTCATACAGAACAAAATTAATACAAGCATTG